TACAGCATGCAACTTCAGCTCTTATTAATGGAAGTTACATACATAATTCAAAGGAGGGGGGAATCAAACTTTCAAAATAAAAAAATCAATTTTTTATTTAAAGCATATTTTTAATGTAAATTAAATAGGTTGTCATAATTTCTAATTTAATTTTAAATAGGTTAATTTTTAAAAATTAACCTACCATACGGCCTAAACTTACAATCTATTGAAGTAATTTAAACTAAATAAAAAATATTCAAACAATACATATTTGCTGCCCAAAGTCTTAAAGAGTGTCAAGCCACTGAACTAGTGGAAATCACTGGCTAAGCTCCTGGAACCAGAGTCTACTGAAGTGTTAAACCAGCTTTTGACAGCAGTAGCTTCTTCTGCAGATGCAGAGAGAATACTTCCTTCAATTCAGTTTATTCAACTAGTTCATTTTAATGACAAGTTAATTCAAAGTTGAAAAAACAATCTGGAGTTGAAAAAGCATGAAATATTTTTATTCATAGACCGGAAAAGGAAAACAATGAGGTGTGAGGATGAAATTTACTAGTTCCAAAATCTTGAAGCATATGGTGACCAGAAACACTTATTTCAATTCATTAACTATACATAATACTTCATTTGTTTAATAAATCAGTTAGTTTTAAATGCAAACATGTTTTGATAAACTTACTTTTTTTTCCTTGTGTGTCCAGCACATACGGTATTTTTAACTAATAAAAATATTTTGTAATTCAATTAAAAATGAACAAAAAAGGCATTTTCAATTTCCTTTCTTACTCATGACGTAAATCATGAATAAAATAATCACCTAGTTAATAAGAAATGAATGTCACCATTTTCTAACAAAAAATTTAAACATTAAGAATCTAAATAAATATATGTGAAACGACATAATTGCTTAAATGTGTATACGTATAGCTCAGGGGTCGGCAACCTTTGGCACCCGGCCCATCAGGGTAAAGCCGCTGGCGGGTCGGTCCAGTTTGTTTATCTACCGCGTACGCAGGCACGGAGCCCCGCACCTCCCACTGTCCGCCGTTCCCGGCCAATGGGAGCTGCGGGAAGCAGCACTAATATAGCTTATCTGCCTAGTTAGCAAAAAGAAGTACAATATTTAGTGTGAAGGTTGTATTTAGCTGCAAATCAACATGTTTGAATGGTCTCCAACCAATGAAATTAACTTTTCTTTAGGAAAATAATTAAAAAGTACAAATGCAAAACACGATTAAAATTGATGCTTTAAATCAAGGTTTCGTGCTTGCTCATTTAATCTTGATTAAAATTGGTGATTTAAAACATTTTGAATTAAATCAATCCATCCTTGTTCAAAGCTGAAATACTGAACATTTCCACCCAACATTACATGAAAAAAAAAAAAAAAAAAGAAATTCAGAAGTTTACACTTTTTGTCGCCTATTCTTTGCTGAATTAAAACCACAGATTTAGGCTGAAAAGAGTGTGTAATTGGATTCTATGTAACAGTCAAACAGAAAAGAAAAAATTCTTTACTCTGCTGCTTCAATATTTTAGTATATTTCACTGTTCACTTCAATATTTATCTATATTTCTAAGCGCTACCAGCTTTGGTGTTAGCCATTTCCACTACCTTCTCAAATGAGATTTCACTTTCGCCAAATAAATTCCCTAACAAATGGAGGATTAACCTCCCTACGAGTCAAATATTTAATAAAACATGGCTATGTAAAAAGCTTAGCAGGTTGAACAATTATTTCAAATTTGAGTATAATTTTAATACCTACATAATATCATGCATAACATCTGGTTTGAAACGTAGATCTGATCATGCAGAATGTCCCCTACTTTGAGTGTAAACTCCTGGGGGGAGAGACTATCTTTTTCCTATGTGTGTATACAGTATCTAATACAATGAGGCCCATAACGAGGACTCCCAGACACTACTGTAATATAAAATCAAACAACAATCATTGCTGCTGGCTGTTAATAGCTCATTGTCACTGTGTCCACAAATGTTTTGCTCCTAATCCCCGTCAGACCAGCAGAGAAAACATGATAGAGCTGGAAAGCACATTCAAAAGTGGTATGTTGTGAGTACCAGCATAGCACTTTTCAGCTTTTGCAGAGCCTCCACAAACCAGAGACCCTTTCTGAGAGAATGACTTCCATCACAATAATAATTAAATCATCACAAAATACAGTATTTCCACAAATTTGCCTGTCCTCATCTCCTTAAGAATATCCCCCAAAAGCTACAATGGCTCCTGACTCATTTTTTGCAAATTTGGGCAATAGATAAATGATCATTTTTCATCACTGCATTCAGAGCTCTGACCTGATTAGCAGCCCAGCATATATAATGAATGTGTATGGGGGTGGGAGGGATGTGAGAAAACCTGGATCTATGCAGGAAATAGCCCGACTTGATTATGTAAAGCGTTGTCACTTTGGATGGGCTAGCACCAGCAGGAGAGTGAATTTGTGTGGGGGGGTGGAGGGTGAGAAAACCTGGATTTGTGCTGGAAATGGCCCACCTGTTGATCACTTTAGATAAGCTATTACCAGCAGGACAGTGGGGTGGGAGGAGGTATTGTTTCATATTCTCTGTGTGTATATAAAGTCTGCTGCAGTTTCCACGGTATACATCTGATGAAGTGAGCTGTAGCTCACGAAAGCTCATGCTCAAATAAATTGGTTAGTCTCTAAGGTGCCACAAGTACTCCTTTTCTTTTTGCGAATACAGACTAACACGGCTGTTCCTCTGAAACCTGTCATAATGAATACTGTACTTCCAAAAAGAAAAAGGAGCACTTGTGGCACCTTAGAGACTAACAATTTTATATTGCTCAAATAAATTTGTTAGTCTCTAAGGTGCCACAAGTGCTCCTGTACTTCCAAAAGAGCTCATGGTCAGCAAGATCCTGCTGATGCCAAGGAGATAGAAGCTGCTGCAAACTTTTGGCACAAAGTAGTAAAATGTAAGGATGTCTTTCAAACTAAGTTCAAACTGTTGAAGATTTTTATCTTGTGGTTGACACAATGCATAACAAAAAAAAGCATGTCTAAACTTGGCTTGACAGCCCACAGTCATTGCTGCACCATCTACATTCAATACAGCTCTTCAACCTGATTCCCATGACCCTTAAAACTGTTTTTATTCCTTGTGTGACATCATTACCTGTCCTAGATTCCACATGTTGTGCTCTGTTTGCTTACATAATAGGTTTTCCCTCCTGGACAAATCTGACATACACTGACTCTTGCTCAGCTACAGACCTGTCAGTGGATCCATCAGCAATCACAGCGATAGCTTTCTTTATGCACATCTGGAATGCTCCCTAAAGAGCATTTGCATTTTAGAGAACAATCTAGTTACAAGAGCTTCTTGTGCACAAAATGACATTTCCTGCTTCCACATAGGTATATGGGAACACAGAGCTTCTCAGCAGTCTCTCCTTGGAGTCTGTTTTTGAAGTTTTTTTGTTGAAGAATTGCCACGTTTAGGTCTGTAATCGAGTCACCAAAGAGATTAAAGTGTTCTCCAACTGGTTTTTGACTCCAACGGGAGAGAATGCTGAATTGGAATTAATTTGCAAACTGGATACAATTAACTTAGGCTTGAATAAAGACTGGGAGTGGATGTGTCATTACACAAAGTAAAACTGAAAGCTTATGCTCAAATAAATTTGTTGGTCTCTAAGGTCCCACAAGTACTCCTTTTCTTATTTCCCCCCTACTGTCCTTGTAAACTGCTAGAAATGGCCCACCTTGACTATCACTACAAAAGGTCCCCCCGGCTAATAGCTCACCTTTCCTGATCACTCTTATTACAGTCTATACGGTAACACCCATTGTTTCATGTTCTCTGTGTATATAAAATCTCCCCACTATATTTTCCACTGTATGCATCCAATAAAGTGAGCTGTAGCTAACGAAAGCTTATACTCTAATAAATTTGTTAGTCTCTAAGGTGCCACAAGTACTCCTTTTCTTTTTATGGATACAGACTAACATGGCTGCTACTCTGAAACAAGTTACAAAGTGTGTGACCCCCCGAGTTTTATATACTCTTATACCCTCTCCTATTTGTCACATTTCTAAGGTAAGCAATCCCAACCTTCTCTTTCATCTGAGTTTTTCCATACCCTTCATCATTCTCATTGTCCTTCTCTGAACCTCCTTTTCTAGTTTTGCAATATCCTTTTTGAAATAGGGCAACTAGTACTACCCACAGAATTCCAAATCAGGCCACATCCCATTGATTTATATAAAATAATTGTAATATTCTTTGCATTATTCACCATCCTATTCTTTATGCATCCTAACACTGTGAGCACTTTTGACTGCAACTGCACATTGGGCAGAAGCCTTCATTTCACATGAGCAGCAAAACAGTCCTGCATGTGCAGGAAACGAATTCTAAACATCTTACAAGCCCTGAAAAGAGGAACACCTTTACGAGAAAGCTATGCATGCTTTCTGCAAAGTACCCCCAAACAGGTCGCCTTTTGGATATACCACTTGTGGACTCTGGTAAGCACACTTATACCCAAGTTTCTCATAATCCCGAGCACACTCTTCTGTGCTACATATTTCATGTTTTCTTGACCAAGGGTCTGCAGTACTATAGTATCCAGCCTCTTTGCTGATTCAGACCGATTTTATTTTTTAACCCCAAAAGTGTTCATTAAAAAAAATAACGAACCAAGACTACGTTCTCTTCATACACGCATGTTTAAAACCGCGTGCAAACTGAGGACTGATTTGCCAATTAAACTGCTTCCCCCTAACACCAGCAGCTAATTTTGCAATTCAACACTGTAACAAGGTATGAGCATTTTTCTGTCTGGCTCTCGAAGCGCGTCTGACCGCAGCAGGAGCTAGTCTAACTGTAATCCATTCTCCTCGGGAGCCGACTCGTGCTCAGCTGGCAAGCTGAAGTAGTGCGCTCCTTTCGCGTCCAGGGATAATGAATACTAACGCTAATAACGGCCTCTGAGCTACGCGTGGCCCATACTTGCCAGCCTTACGTTCTCTCCTGAACGCCAGTCAAGTGGTGTCTCGCAGGGATGACTGGGGAGCGTCCAAGGCGCCAAACGCTGCTACGCTGGGCTTGTACGGAAAATAAAACGGTGACCGGCAGGGCGCTGTGGTCGGGGGGGGGAATGCTGTGGGGCTCAGGCCAGAAGGGGAACCCTGGAGACCGGCCGGAACACGGGCGCAGGTGGATGACGCCACAGAAAGGCGCGGGCGGAGCTCCGCGGCGGTTATGGACACACAACACGCTGTCCGGGGACAGGGTGCTGGGGGGTGATTCCACCCTGAGTGGCTGGGCGAGAGGCCAATGGAAGTTCCGCTGTTGGGGCGTGACCTATCTGGAAAGTGATGAGGCTTCGGGAGCCAGAGCCAATCCGAGGAAGCTAGCTTTATGGGGCGGGGTCAAGGTGACGCGAGCTAATCCGGAAAGGGAGATAGAGAAGGGGCGGGGCCTTGCGGGTGTGGGTGCAGCGTCCGCTAGTCAGGAGGTGAATAAGAGCGAGCCTTGGGCCTCTCTGGCCAATCATAATCGGAGAGGGCGGGGCTTGGTCCCATGCTGGTGGAGGGGTGTACCGCAACCGTGACCGAGGCGGAGTGCGGCCCGCGCGTTGGGGGTTCTTGGCCTGACCTACGTGGCGCAGGCGCAGTGCAGTCATGAGCCTGAGGCCGCGCCCGCTGGGCAAGGGGCTGAGGCGGGGGCGACGCGAGTGCTGATGGAAATGCCGGGGGGGGGGTCTCTCAGAGACAGCGAGAGGGGTTTTATCCCTGGCCAGGGCAGGGACCTGAGCACAAGAAAGTGCCCCCCAGCTGTTAGAGGGGTGTCACCACTCGGCTTACACAGACAGCCCCCATGTACAAGGGGGCCTTGGAGGGACTCCCCCCAATCTCCCCCCCCCGCCCAGCACAGAGGGGCCTGAGAGGGTCTCCTCTTCATCCCATACAGAGGGGCCTGAAGGGGTCTCCCCGGGACTCCCCCGCCCCACACGGAAGGGCCTGAAAGGGACTCCTCCCACACAGGGAGGGGGTGATTGCGAGGGCACCCCTCACAGATCAGGAGGAGGAGGGACTAGCTCACATATGCAGAGGGTGTTTGTGGGTGTGCCTCCCACAACATATGGTGAGCTTTAGCATTGCTAAGCTGAGCCATTTGAAAATCATGGATCAGGCCACCTCCAAAGGGATTGACTTTAAAAATAAAATTGTTTAGAATAAATACAACTTGGGATCCTTAATTGGCTGCTTATTTTGGAGCCTCCAAGCTAATTCATCCTCTTTGGGCAGGACCAATATGATGCCATCTTTAATTGTCTGACCAGTAAATTAAAGAAGTATGGATTGGATGAATAGACTATAAGGTGGCTAGAAAGCTGGCTAGATTGTCAGGCCCAACGGGTAGTGATCAATGGCTCAATGTCTATAGTTGGCAGCTGGTATCAAGCGGAGTGCTCCTCGGGCCGGTTTTGTTCAACATCTTAATTATCTGGGTGATGGGATGGATTGCACCCTCAGCAAGTTTGAAGATGACACTAAGCTGGGGGGAGAGGTAGATACGCTTGAGGGTAGGGATAGAGTCCAGAGTGACCTAGACAAATTGGAGGATTGGGCCAAAAGAAATCTGATGAGGTTCAACAAGGACAGGTGCAGAATCCTGCACTTAGGACTGAAGAATCCCATGCACTTCTACAGGCTGGGGAAAAGGACCTGGGGATTACAGTAGATGAAAAGCTGGATATGAGTCAACAGTGTGCCCTTGTTGTCAGGAAGGCTAGCAGCATATTGGGCTGCATTAGTAGGAGCATTGCCAGCAGTTCGAGGGAAGTGATTATTCCCCTCTGTTAGGGACTGGTGAGGCCACATCTGGAGTATTGCGTCCAGTTTTGGGCCTGCCACTACAGAATGGATGTGGATAAACTGGAGAGAGTCCAGCGGAGGGCAATGAAAATGATTAGGGAACCGGGGCACATGACTTATGAGGAAAGAAAAGGAGTACTTGTGGCACCTTAGAGACTAACCAATTTATTTGAGCATAAGCTTTTGTGAGCTACAGCTCACTTCATCGGATGCATACTGTGGAAAGTGTAGAAGAAAGTGTATGATAATCAGGGTGGGCCATTTCCAGCACAAATCCAGGGTTTAACAAGAACGTCGGGGGGGGGGGGGGGGGTAGGAAAAAACAAGGGGAAATAGTCTTCAAATCCAGACTCCAGCAAGAGACTGTTGAATTGGAATTCATTTGCAAATTGGATACAATTAATTTAGGCTTGAATAGAGACTGGGAGTGGCTAAGTCATTATGCAAGGTAACCTATTTCCCCTTGTTTTTTCCTACCCCGCCCCCCCCAGACGTTCTTGTTAAACCCTGGATTTGTGCTGGAAATGGCCCACCTTGATTATCATACACATTGTAAGGAGAGTGATCACTTTAGATAAGCTATTACCAGCAGGAGAGTGGGGTGGGGGGGAAGGTATTTTTTCATGCTTTGTGTGTATAAAAAGATCTTCTACACTTTCCACAGTATGCATCCGATGAAGTGAGCTGTAGCTCACGAAAACTTATGCTCAAATAAATTGGTTAGTCTCTAAGGTGCCACAAGTACTCCTTTTCTTTTTGCGAATACAGACTAACACGGCTGTTACTCTGAAACCTGACTTATGAGAAGAGGCTGAGGGAACTGGGCTTATTTAGTCTGCAGAAAAGAAGAGTGAGGGGGGATTTAAGAGCAGCCTTCTACTACCTAAAGGTGGGTTCCAAAGAGGATGGAGCTAGGCTGTCCTCAGTGGCAGCAAATAACAGAACGGAGCAATGGTCTCAAGTTGCAGTGGGGGAGGTCTAGGTTGGATATGAGGAAAAACTATTTCACTAAGAGGGTGGTGAAGCACTGGAATGGATTACCTAGGGAAGTGTTGGAATTTCCATCCTTAGAGGTTTTTAAGGCCCCACTTGACAAAGCCCTGGCTGGGATGATTTAGTTGGGGTTGGTCCTGCTTTGAGCAGGGGGTTGGACTAGATGACCTCCTGAGGTGTCTTCCAAATCTAATATTCTATGATTTATGCTATTTTTTTCCCACATGGGTCACCTGCTTCATTCCTTGCATATTGACTTGATTTGTTTCAAACATTTTCAGAAATAACACGAAATCAGGGAGGAAAAATATTAACTTCTATATACATTCTTTATAACTAGGAATCAGCACATTAGACCAATATCAAAACAGAAAATCTGTACCTGCATTTGGAAGAATCTTTAATTGCTTGCTAGTTTACAGTGAGAGTGATAGGGCCATTAATTCTTTAGCAATTCTCTACTGCTATGCACATTTTCATCAAGTTAAAATCCTATTAATACTGTTATAGTAATACTTTTTATATACTAATGAAATAAATACATTTTATCAAGCTGCCATTCTTTTACCGTATGTCATTTTAAAGATAGCAGACAACCACAACTTTATAAGATAAACAGAGACAGCATTTAAAAACCTTTTATATAATTTAAACCAAAAAGAGGAACTAGTAATAACTAATTGCATATGTATACTCAGTACTAAGATTACCCCCCAAATCAAAGCTTGTTGCTATGAAGTTAAAGGTAGTATACTAGAAGTGTTACGCAAATGGTTTTATGATACCTTCATGAATCCCAATGCACTATTACGAGAGTTTATGGAAAAGGTTTATATCATATTGTGTTTACAGAAACAGTATTTTCTGAAGTGAAGTGAGCCGTAGCTCACGAAAGCTTATGCTCAAATAAATTTGTTAGTCTCTAAGGTGCCACAAGTACTCCTTTTCTTTTTGCGGATACAGACTAACACGGCTGCTACTCTGAAACCAGTATTTTAAAGGTTTTCCTGTAAAAGATGGTATCAAGATAGCTCTTGTGATTATGAGCAAATATAAACTTATGCTAAAGAAAGTCTTTCTGGGTTCTATGTTACATGTTTAACATATGCACCAGCTTCAGATCCATTTGACTGCTGATTTTCTAACGATGATATTGGTGTGCTGTTAAGAGAAATATGCAGTTCATGCTTTTGCTAATCATGATAAGCATGCACCGCAAATCTATTTGAATGCTAACTTTCTAATTATGATATTGATGCAATGTTGACATGCTGTGCATGAAAATCCAGCATGCAGTGCATGGTTAAATAATATAACATGTACTGGATATGTTTGCGAAATTCCTAAATTTATATTTATGTACTTTGAGGAAAAATATGTAATCCATTGTTTGCTAAATATTAGGGCTGTGAAGCGATTTAAAAAATTAATCACAATTAATCATGCTGTTCATATTTTTGGATGTTTTCTACATATTCAAATATATTGATTTCAATTACAACATAGAATACAAACTGTACAGTCCTCACTTTATATTTATTTTTATTACAAATATTTGCACAGTAAAAAACAAAAGAAATAGTATTTTTCATTTCACCTAATACAAATACTGTAGTGCAATCTCTTTATCATGAAAGTTAAACTTACAAATGTAGGATTTTGTACAAAAAAAACCTGCATTCAAAAACAAAACAATGTAAAACTTTAGAGCCTACAAGTCCACTCAGTCCTACTTCTTGTTCAGCCAATCGCTCAGACAAACAAGTTTGTTTACATTTGCAGGACATAATGCTGCATGCTTCTTGTTTACAATGTCACCTGAAAGTGAGAACAGGAGTTTGTATGGCATTGTTGTAGCCAGCGTCACAAGATATTTGTGCTAGATGCGCTGAAGATTCACATGTCCCTTCATGCTTCAACCACCGTTCCAGAGGACATGCATTCATGCTGATGATGGATTCTGCTTGATAACGATCCAAAGCAGTGCAGACTGACGCATGTTCATTTTCATCACCTGAGTCAGATGCCACCAACAGAAGGTTGATTTTCTTTTTTAGTGGTTCGGGTTCTGTAGTTTCTGCATCAGAGTGTTACTCTTTTAAGACTTCTGAAAGCATGCGCTATACCTCGTCCCTCTCAGATTTTGGAAGGAACTTCAGAATCTTAAACCTTGGGTTGAGTGTTGAAACTATCTTTAGAAATCTGATTTTGGAACCTTCTTTGTGTATTGTCAAATCTGCAGAGAAAGTGTTCTTAAATCTTCTTAAATCAAACAACATATGCTGGGTCGTCGTCCGAGACTACCATAACGCAAAATATATGGCAGAATGCTGGTAAAACCATGGAGCGGGAGACATACAATTCTCCTCCAAGGAGTTCAATCACAACTTTAATTAACACATTTATTTTTAACAAGCGTCATCAGCATGGAAGCATGTCCTTTGGAATACTGGTCAAACCATGAAGAGGCATATGAATGTTTAGCATATCTGGCACGTAAATACCTTGCAGTGCCAGCTACAAAAGTGCCATGCGAATGCCTTTTCTCACTTTCAGGTGACGTAAATAAGAAGTGGGCAGCATTATCTCCTATAAATGTAAACAAACTTGTTTCTCTTAGTGATTGGCTGAACAAGAAGTAGGACAGAGTGGACATGTAGGCTCTAAAGTTTTATGTTGTTTTGGTTTTGAGTGCAGTTATGTAACAAAAAAAATCCACATTTGTAAGTTGCACTTTCACAATAAAGAGATTACACTACAGTACTTGTATGAGGTGAACTGAAAAATACTATTTCGTTTGTTTGTCATTTTGTCACAGTGCAAGTATTTGTAATCAAAAGTAATATAATGTGAGCACTGTACACTTTGTATTCTGTGTTGTAAATGAAATCAATATATTTGAAAATGTAGAAAAACATCCAAAAATATTTAATAAATTTTAATTGGTATTCTATCGTTTAACAGTGCGATTAAAACTGCAATTAATTACGATTAATTTTTTTAATCACGAGTTATTACATTTTTTAGAGTGAATCGTGTGAGTTGCCTGCGATTAATTGACAGCCCTACTAAATATAACATATATACGTTGCAAATTGTTTGATTTAAATTTCTAATGATATTTACATTCTGTTAGGAAAAATATCAAGTGTGTCATTAAAATAAGAATACATTGAAAATTCCAAATTTAGTTGAATTGTATGCCTTGCACGGGAGGGCGGCCCCACAGACCCTGGGGGCTAGGCCATACAGACCTGCGCTGAAGGGCGGTCCGATGGACTCTGGGCCAGAGTGCCCTGACTCTAGGGATGCCCACTGATGCTGGCCATTTTCCCAGACGTCTCTGAGCTACAGGGCCCTCCTCACAGAATTAGGCCAGTAGGCCGTGCTGCCTGGAATCTAAGAGCAGCTCCCGCCCCGACTCGGACCATTAGGTTGCACCGCCCTGAGAAGAGGCAGTCATTTGAACTTGACTGCAGGGACATAGTACCACTAAAGGGGTGATGGGGTATACCTGCTCTGTGACAGCTACCCATATGCCGTGGGACATGTGAGAGGACTTCTTGAACTGTTTCAGCTAGTCCACGTCCAAACTGGCACTAAAACAATTCAGATTGAAATGGTTCAGACTGATGAGGTTCCTAGACCTACTACCAAAACAGTTTTTAGAATGTGTGGACAAGCTTTGTGTGTGAACATAACATTTCAACTGTTTACCACCACATTCTCTCTCAGTGTAACCCGTGTCAAGAGGAATGTGATGTATTGCTGGTCTTTCAGGGTCAGAAAGTGATGGGATTTTAATATCATTCCCATTGTTGCAGTATTTGATGGCTCGTCTATAGGAATACGTAGGCCTGATCTACACCTAAAACTCAGGTTGACCTAGTATGTTGCTTAGGAGGACTATGAAAAATTTCACGCCTTGTGCAATGTAGTTAGGGTGACCTAACTTCCACTGTAGATGCAGCTAGTTTGATGGAAGAATTCCTCCATCAACCTAGCTACCATCTCTCAGAGGAGTGGATTACACCTACATTGATGGGAAAACCCCTGCCATTGATGTAGGAAGTGCCTACACTATGGGCACTGTAGCTGTGTGGTGTAGACATAGTTCATGGCAGGCTGGGGTATAAATCTGCATTGCGCTACTAGCCTGCCACACGGTAAGTGTTCGTGTGGTCCCTGCTGTTGTGTACTAAAAGTTCTGTAGCGCTCTGATCAACCCCGCTTTGAAACGTTTGCCGTGCCCAGTGTGAGGCACGTGGCTGTGTTTTGACACTAGCTTTTTCAGAACTATCATTTGTTTGCAAACCCAAAGGCCCTCCCAGCTACGGTATAAGTTTTAAACAGTTGCAATACCTAGTTTGTACCTATGTTGTAAGAGGCTCCTCCCGGCCTCCTTCTCTTTGTGGACATAAAGGGACATGTTAGGAACCCATATTTTAACCTCCATTCCTGGCTGAAACAAGGTCATGCCATTTCCCCCTCCCCCTGTTCCTACAGGCAAGAAAAAAAATATTGTGTAAACCTGTTTGGACCACTTACTGTGGCTCCAAGGAAGCGGCTGCCAGGTCCCTGTGGCCTCTAGGCACATGGGTGGCCAGGCAGTTCTGTGCGGTGCACGCTGCCTTTGCTCCTGCAGGCACCGCCCCCCCCCGCTCCCATTGGCTCCCAGCTAATGGGAGCTGCAGAGCCAGTATTTGGGGTGGGGACAGCGCACGGAGCCTCACAGTCCCTGACCACCCCAGCACCTAGGGGCCACAGGGACCTGGTGGCTGCTTCCGGGAGCAACACGGAGTCGGGGCAGGTAGGGACCCTGCCTTAGCCCCGGGCTTCTGCTGTGCCACCAACCAGACTCCTAACGGCCCAGTCAGCGATGCCAACTGGAGCCGCCAGAGTCCCTTTTCAACTGGGCGTTCCAGTCAAAAAACAGACGCCTGGCAACCCTAGTTAAGAAAGTCGCCAATGCAGTACCACATGAGAAGCCCTTGAAAATACTCACTCACTGCCTCATTGGCATACCCTATACTCATAGGTTCCTTTGAAACTTACTGTACATAAAAACTGCAGCCTAGCTCTTCAGAGGCAAATTCAGATAGGATCATTGGAATCCAGTCTCTGTAGATGGAGGCAGCTGGGTCTCATCCACTGGTCAGAGACAGAAGAGTACCCAGCTGATTAGTGCTGGCTGCCTGGTGGGATGTACTTGCCTTGCTTCATGTGGGGTCAAGGTCTCTGGAGCAAGAGGAAGACAAGTCCAGCCTGGAGATGGGAGGAGTCAGGAGAAGTCTGCTTAGGGATATGGGGGGTGTAACAATCTTGGGGTTCACTATCTAACAAACCAGGGAATAAGAAAGGAATAACACTTTAATAAAACAAATGGGAGAGTGTCACTGGTAAGCTGCTGCACGCAGCCATGTGGTGTTCCAACCCCTGCTTCCAGGGCACATCTCCAAATTCCTATGTTCATAACACTGTCCCTTATCAGGGAGCATCTCCAAATCACAATCTTTCATAAACCCATCTCTACAGCAGGCTAGGTTGGGAAGAAGTGTCTGGGGGAAAGTAAGTTGAGAGCCGGTCTCTTTGGGATGGGGAAAGGCACACATATTTTGGGGTGTATCTGGGTCTGTTTTAACCTTAATCCATCAATGCCATTCTTTAGTGCAATTTAAAGTGTTGCATTAAAAGAGTTAATAAGCTTCCTGAAAGGTAGCTGACTGAGTTTTAAATAAGAAAATATCAGTATTCAAATTAAGCCAATATGAGGTGGTAAATGGGAGTCTTCCCTCCTGTGATGTTGCACTCCATAATGTTTTATGGAAATAGGCTCATGAGTGTAAATATGGTGTAACTGGAATATGCTTCATGCAAAAGGTCTCTTGTAAGGTATCATTACAAAGCTTAAAATCTACTGAGTGTGTTCATCCTATTTATTTGCATGTATTATTTCTGTGTCTGGAGTTAGGAAAATAAGATATAAACTTGTATTACTGATGTAAGCATATTAAGTGGAAGCCATTAAGGGTGCTTCAGAATCAATGAACTGTAAATGGGTTTGTTTACCTGCAAGCCTTCCTGTGTATGTGTCAGACAGCTCCTAGGTAATGAAGAAGGAAGTCTTACAGTGACATGTGATCATGTGACCTGAACTGGAATTCATCTTAAACCTGGCGCTTTTCCATTTAGAAGAAGGGGTGGGGACTCAGAGGGACAAAAGATTCCCGCCTTGTGCCAAAGCTATAAAAGGGTGTGGAACAGAACAAAAGGAGGGCCAGTCATGAGAACACCCCAGTTTCCACTTAAGATGTCTGCTGGAACTCACAAGGACTGTACCGGGGAAAGGATTGGGCCCAGACTAGGAAGGAGTCTAGTCTGTGAAAGAAGCTTATTGGAACATCTCTGAGGGTGAGATATTACCTGTACCAGTTTCTTAAAGTATTAGGCTTAGACTTGCATGTTTTTGCTTTATTTTGCTTGGTGACTTACTTTGTTCTGTCTGTTATTATTTGAAACCACTTAAATCCTACTTTTTATACTTAATAAAATCACTTTTGTTTATTAATTAACCCAGAGTAAGTTATTAATACCTGGGGGAGCAAACAACTGTGCATATCTCTCTATCAATGTTATAGAGGGCGGACAATTTATGAGTTTACCCTGTATAAGCTTTATACAGAGTAAAACGGATTTATTTGGGGTTTGGATCCCATTGGGAGCTGGGTGTCTGGGTGCTGCAGATAGGTGACTTGCTGAGCAGTTTTTGGTTAAAGTCTGCAGCTTTGGGGGCATGGAACAGACCTGAGTCTGTGTTGCAGCAGGCTAGCGTGTCTGGCTCAACAAGGCAGGGTTCTGGAGTCCCAAGCTGGCAGGGAAAACAGGCTCAAAGGTACTTCCAGCATGTCAGCTGACTGTCCCAAAGCGGTCTCTGGGACCGAACCCATCACACCTCCTACCTCCAGTTTACTCTGAAGCAAAGAGATTTTCTGATCAAGTAGTTATTTGTTTTCAGTAGAACTGGGGTTCTGGTCTTCAATTTCAACTAAAAATAACTGATAGACTAATACCAATCCAAATATTATAACAGAATGATAAAAATAAAAAATACAAGGTTCCTTTGATGTTTTTTTTAAACTGCCGATAGTATCCTGGTTGCATATAGCAGTAGCATGGGCACTGGGATATGAAGTGTTGTCCATTAGCAGAGCACAGTAGTAACTAATGTTTAATAGTAGTATTAAGTAGTTTTGTCTCACTGGAGCTTTCATGAACATTTCTTTGCTTTTTAAAAGACTTAAGCTCATGATTTTCTTTCATGTATTCCTACTGGAACAACTGCAGAATTCTGCAGTCAAAGTTAAAAATGAATGTAGAGAGACTGATAAGTGAAAATGCAGTTTACTGGCCAAAAAGTAAAACCAGAAACTGAAATCAATATCCATAAATATAATAATATTTTGCACTTTCAGACTGCCTTCAAACAAAGGATCTCTGAACACTTTACAAACAGTTAATTAATTCTCACCTAACTGGCCTCATCTTACCGATAAGGAAAATGAATCATAGAGAGATTAAGGTCACACAGAAAATCTGTGCCAGAGCCAGATCTCCTGGTTCAAGTGATGTTTTAACTACAAGAACAAAGGAAAATGTAACAAGCTCTTATGAATGTTCAGGTTTATAAAATTACAAAAAGAGTGAGCATTAATGTAGTGCTTTTCAGCTATGTGTAACCCATGCTGACTGTGTGGCTCTGTCCCTTCTGGTGGCTCAGATGTTTATAGAAGTTTATGAGTTTGCTACTACCTACGAGCTAAGACCTTGGTCCTACAGTTCTAGCAAAAGAGGCTTGTGCTTTTTAGATTCTGAGGTCCTGAATTCAGTCCCTGCAGGCAACCCATCCAGAGGCATTGTTACATGTCTATCAAAGCATTTATTTCCTGCCTGCAATGGCAATTTTTGCACATTTTGCTTCCAAGATTACAAAATGAAAAGATAAGGATGTACCCGAGATTGATTGGTGCAAAATTCATATGATGTAAGTTTTATGCCTCTCACACTTTCTTAAAATTATATTTTATTATTTTATTTTATGTATATGTCTGCCTCAAATCTATCAATGAAAAAGCCAATATGCAAACCAATGCTAAATGAAAGCTGTTTTATTTGAGAGGATTATCAAAAATTATTGATTTTTTTCCTCCTATCATTTCCAGAATGATTGGAAGACTTTCCTAAATATTTCTTATGAAACATTCAATGCAACAAGCATATTGAAAAATTAACACATTCATCGTGGGTATTGTATATTAACTCACATAGATTAGTTCTTAGCACAACAGTATATTTTGGGCCCGTAGTGCTGACTCCAATAGTTTTGTCCATACACAGACAGAAGGATTTGGCTGTTTTTATATTCTTATGTTAGGCAGGCTTATTTTATACACGATTTTCTTTTAACAATTTAGCAGTACGCTATTAAAAGTCCAGATCTTATGAAGTGTTGCACACCCTCAACTCATCACCTTGCAGGACTGGGCCTAAAGATTTTTATCAGGAAAGTCTCCTGTTTCCTTATTTAACAAAAAATAAGGAATTATACCATAACTAAATGAACAGAGCAAGTTTGGTAGGTATGCTTACAAAGAGCTATTGTGAGCATTTTCATCATATTAAAAAGTGAAAGACAAGGATACTTAAACAGTATATCGAGGCTGTGACATTGATAGGGTTTTCAGGTAACCAGCTCTGGAGTGAATCCAATCTGACATTCTAGTTAGATGAAATTCTAATAGAGATTTGGAGTAAGGAAAAATGTTTCTGGTATCAAATCCAAAATTCAAGGTTTATACTTATTTGGTTTGCGTTCTGATTTTTTTTTTAATCTCTTTCAAACCATGTTGTATAGTGCTGACTACTGAAAAGGTCTGGGTTTTTTTGTGGGCCTTAAAATTCATTGTTCTTCCTACAGAATGTGACTTCAGTGCAGGAGCTCATGCAAATCTGTCAGTTCCTCTGTTTGGAAACTATTGTTTTTCAAATGTCTGCACTGTATGTTCATAATTTCATTTCTAACTCATTGAGCACTGTTCAGATTTATCAACTGACTCCTCTCTGTGCTAGAACTTATTTTGTTTTCAGGATTACAAAAATTAAAGGGTTCCCCTGATTCAATACAGAGGTTTACATCTTGGCCACACTGCAGTCAATGGGACTTTTGCCTCGACTTCAATGCAGTCAGAGTTCACCCAGAAAGAAGTCAAGAAGGGTTTCTAATAAAAGTAATTAGATAATGTATTTTAAAAATTGCACAATCTCTCCTTCTCTTTCTGTATATAAATGGTAGCTGCTGTGCCCCGAACTTCCCAAATATAGGGCTTAGAAGATGCTGCATGCCCTCAACTCCCATCATCAATGGTTGTTGAGGGTGCTCAGCAATAGCCCCATTGTGCCTGCTGGGTGAAATTCACTCTTATGCCAGCAGGAGGCTTTTGGACCACTTAAGTCCAACTTAAAATACAGCTTAAGTGGGACTTAAGTGTTGCATAGCCCTTGTAGTGGGCCCTTAGCACAAGGGTGAATTTCATCTACTATATATAGATCAGACCTGCCCTTGGGTGCTCCTAGTAGAGAAGTCTGAGAACAGTGGACTCAAGAGGGGTAAAATCCTGGCTTTATATAAGTCAATGAGAGTTTTGCCATTGATTTCAGTGGAGTCAAGATTTCACCCAAGGAATTTAAATCACTCGGATTTCTATTTTTGTGGGGATTAGTAACGGGCTGGCTAGAAGCTGAATTATATAGAAAGTGTGACTTGGATTGTGTGGCTGGTTTTCAATTTAACTGTAATGTGATATATACCATCATGTGCCAGCAATGCCCCTCTGCCATGTACTTTGGCCAAACCGGACAGTCTCTACGTAAAAGAATAAATGGACAGAAATCAGACGTCAAGAATTATAACATTCAAAAACCAGTTGGAGAACACTTCAGTTTCTCTGGTCACTTGATTACAGACCTAAAAGTCGCAATATTACAACAAAAAACCTTCAAAACCAGACTCCAACGAGAGACTGCTGAATTGGAATTAATTTGCAAACTGGATACAATTAACTTAGGCTTGAATAAAGACTGGGAGTGGATGGGTCATTACACAAAGTACAACTATTTCCCTGTGCTTATTTTTTCCCCCTACTGTTCGTCAGACATTCTTGTCAACTGCTGGAAATGGCCCACCTTGATTATCACTACAAAAGGTTTTTTTTCTCTCCTGCTGGTAATAGCTCACCTTACCTGATCACTCTCCTTACAGTGTGTACGACAATACCCATTGTTTCATGTTCTCTGTGTACATAAAATCTCCCCACTGTATTTTCCACTGCATGCATCCGATGAAGTGAGCTGTAACTCATGAAAGCTTATGCTCAAATAAATTTGTTAGTCTTTAAGGTGCCACAAGTCCTCCTTTTCTTTTTGTGGATACAGACTAACACGGCTGCTACTCAGAAACCTGTAATATTGTTGTAACTGGAAAGGAATAAGTATACTGCTGCTGGGATTTATAGGCTAATCTTATTTCCTTTGAAGTCAATGAGAGCTTTGCTATTGACTTCAGTAAGAACAGGATCAGGCTATATATTAACATGTCCATATAAACACTTAGGAGAGAAGGGTAAGCTGAAAAACTGGCATGTTTTAACTGTATTTGGTTGGAGTTACAATAACACTCAGCCAGTTGTACCAAGACATCCCCTAGGTAGACACTAGGAAATCTAGTCTTAGATATTATTGTGATAGGCGATCTAAATAGATAGTCTACTTTAAACTTTATTCTCTCTGAAGTTCTACACATTCTGGCTGCAGGGGACGTTTGCCATCCCCTGAAATGCAAGCTTTTGAAAACACAATTGACCACCCTTTTAGAAAGCGATTGTAAAACATGAAGCCTTGTGCTGTCTCTCTATAATTTTATTGTGGGTTAATTTCTGAACATCGGTAAATGGTTTCTCTTGATTCCTGTAACAGTAGCAGAATCATCCCCTTTCTATGGCATCAGTTATACCACAAGTTGCACTTATGTCTTGGTTGGTGTTTTATATACAAAAATGTTCAGCTCATTGCTCTCAACCTGCTGTGGCCTAAATGTGACACTGGCCTTTACAAGTACCTAACAAATGCTCAAAGTAAAGAAAACAACTGGATATAATGGAACAGAAAGCGTAAAGTAACGAGGGATTCATCTGTCTAAAGCTGCATTACATTGATAGCATGAAAATTACATTAATTCATGCTGATTTCAGTGTTTGCATTACAGGGTAGAGGTGGGTATGGTGTGTTGGCTGAATAAAAGTGCGCTTTCCCTCCTCCCAGCCTTTCACATACACGCAGTTAAAGTATGGGCTGAATAACCCCACTTTCCAGGCTACAAGGAGCATTCAGTCTATGATGCTTTGTATTGCAGGAGTGCTAGGGACCTTAGTCATAGCCCAGGACTCTATTGCCCTGGCTCTGTACAAATACAAACTAGCTCTTCCCATCCTCTTTTAGGTTTGGCTATATTCAGACGAGTGATTATTGAAAAAATGTCACCTTATTAAAAAGGTCTGTTTTCTGAGAGAAGAAGGTCATCCTCCATGCCCAGTGAAGATGTAACCCCGCTGCTGAGACTGCCAGCTGTGGCGGTTATGAAGTGGACTCATACCAAATAGGGTTTTCCCTGTGTATGTTAACTGGACACGTATTTTAATTTTTAAAAATTGCACTTCCCTGGCACAATTCCACAGAATCTCTTTAAAAGCATGCTAACTGAAGTGAATGGTGTCACTTTAAATATAACAACCTCAAAACCCAGAAATGAGCTGCAAACACAACTTTACCCTTTAGATCACCGGCTCAGCCAAAAGCCACAGTTAAGAGGCCTGGATATTCAATAATTCTTCTTTAAGTGATGTCCCTAGCGGAGCTCCACTGTAGGGGTGGCAGTGCTCCCTGCACCTGGGATCTTCATCTGCGGGGCCCGTTGGACAGCACATGCGCACTGCCCCGGCTTGCGCTGTGAGCAGAATGCATATATAGTGCTGTGCAGTCCAACCCCCTCACCCGCAGTTCCTTCTCGACCACCTTTGGTATGGGACAGAATCCACAGCAGAGCCTGCTTCTCCTTAGAACTACTAGATAATGCCTTACCTGTTAGTTTTTAGTGTAGTTCAATAGTTATTTCGTTCCCTTCTCATTCTTGAATATGCAGAATTGGAGCATAGCGGATGAATAAGCCTTGTGACCAAATAAGTCCAATTGCTTCCAGTTCCTGTCATAAGGGATGGATCTAGGTTGGTACTGATGTCCCTTTTTGTGCAAGGCATTGACAACAAAGGAATTTGGAGTGGGGTCCCTAAAGAGGGAAAGGGAGGGAGGTGGGCAGGATAGATAGGAATGGGATGGAGTATCCTTCCTTGATGATCTCTAGAACCCACTTGTCTGAGGTAATCAGCCACCATGATGGAAAGAAAGGGGCTAAAACAGTCGCCAAACTATTGGGATGTTGGAGATGGTTGTTGTGACTGGAACAGGGGGAGGCCTCTCGGGGCCTTGACCATACCTTCAAAATTGTTGTTTGGTCGAAGGTGTGTGAGAGGTAGCTCCTTGAGGAATCGTACATCTGCGTTTGGTATGGGGCTTCTGTTGATGGCGTTGGGTGTTGTACTGTTGATGAGGAGTTAACTGTGGTGGTCAGGAGCGTTGGGGAGGTTGGTATTTCCCCGGTCATCTCTTTGGCGCTGGGTATAAATGGTGAGAGAGCAGAGGGTTGTTCGAGAGTCCTTCAGGGAGTGTAGCGATTTATCTGTGCACTCCATGAATAACTTGGGGCCCTCAAAGGGTAGATTCTCTACAGTGGTTTGTACCTCCTTAGGGAGGCCGGAAAAGTGCAGCCATGAAACCCTCTCATGACTACTGCAGTCACAATGGTAGGGGCAGCGGTATTCAGAGAATCCAAGGAAGCTTGTAAAGTTGTATGAGCTAAGAGGTGTCCTTTGGACACAAGCGTCTGGAGCTGTTCATTTTTGTCATTAGGAAGGTCTTGGCAGAGGTCCTGTATTTTAGAATAACTGACATAATTGTATTTGGCCATGAGAGTGGTCCGCAATGCCTGCTGACATTTTCTACCATAGATTGCACATCACGCTACCAGAGTCATGATGGTCTATATCACCTGTATGTCCTACATCAACAGCCAAGGCAGAGCGAGGTCCCACTCTCTATGCTTGGAAGCACTGAAATTGTGGAACTGGTGTATCCAGCACAACATCACCATCTTAGCTGCATACTTCCCTGGACACCAGAACACCACCGCGGACTCATTGAGCAGATTCTCCCAAGATCACGAGTGGGAGATAGATATGTGAGCCCCTCATCAGATCTTCAGTTGCTGGGGGTTCCCCACCATAGATCTCTTTGCCATACTGGAGAATGCCCACTGTCCTGGATTTTGCTTGAGTGTGGGCCTAGGATGCAGATCCCTGGGAGACGCATTCCACCTCACATGGGATGCACCGCTGCTCTATGCCTTTCCTCCCTTTCCTCTTCTGTTCAGAGTACTCCACAAGATCCAAGGGGACTGAGCCCGAAATGGCCACAACAAAACTGGTATACTTACCTTATTCGCATGACGCCCTTCGATCACTCTGTGGCCAACTCCTTTCACAGCATGCGGGTTGAATCCTTCATCCCAATTCACAGCTACTCCAGCTGAAGGCATGGCCCCTCCCTGGTTCTGGGATTCGGAGATAACTTGTTCAGAAACAGTTAAAGAAGTCCTCTTGAATAGCGGATATGATACAGCAAGACGCACTTACATCCACAAATGGACTAGATTCCACTCCTGGTGCACCTCCAATCAGGTAGAAACAATGAGTTCCCCATTACCACTCATCCTGAATTATATTTTACACCTTAAAAGATTGGGGTTATCCATCCGCTCCATCTGAGTGCACTTGGCAACCATCACGACCTTTCATCCTAAGATAGACAGCCACTCCATGTTTACCCACCCGCTCACAAAAAAATTCCTAAAAGGTCTCCAAAATCTTTACCCTCATATACGGGCTCTGGCTCCAGCTAGGGACCCTGGCCTTGTGCTATGTCATCTTACTAGACCACCTTTCAAACCAATGGCAACGTGCTCCTATGTTCATTTATCCATGAAAACAACATTTCTTGTCGCTATCACCTCTGCCTGGCAGGCTGGTGAAACTGGAGCACTCGTGGTATACCCCCCATATAGGATTTTTCATAAAGAAAGGTTACATTACGACCACATCCCAAAATTTTACCCAAAATACCATCCTCTTTCTATCTAAACGAGGGGTGAGCGAACTTTTTGGCCCAAGGGCCACATTGGGGAATAGAAATTGTATGGCGGGCCATGAATGCTCACAAAATTGGGGTTGGGGTGTTGGAGGGGGTGAGGGCTCTGGTTGTGGGTCTGGGCTCTGGCTGGGGATGAAGAGTTTGGAGTGTAGCAGGGTGCTCTGGGCTGGAACCAAGGGTTTGGAGGGTGGGAGGGGGATCAGGGCTGGGGCAGGGGTGTTGGAACGGGTGCAGGTTCCACCTGGGGGTGTGGGCTCTGGGGTGGGGCTGGGGATGAGAGGTTTGGTGTGCAGGAGGGTGCTCCTGGCTGGGATCGAGGGGTTTGGAGAGCGGGGGTGGGGATCAGGGCTGAGGCAGGGGATTGGGGCATAGGGAGAGGCTCAGGGGTGCAGGTTCCGAGTGGCACTTACCTCAAGCGGCTCCCAGAAGCAGTAGCATGTCCCTTCTCCGACTCCTACACGGAGGCGCAGCCTGGCAGGTCTGCATGCTGCCCCATCCTCAGGCACCCCCCTGCAGCTCCCATTGGAGCGCCAGAGGGGGCCATTGGAGCGCATAGGAGCTGGGGCAGGGCCATCCTGCAGCTTCCGGGAGCCATGTGCTGCGGCCCCAACCCTGCGCCCCGGCCAGAGTGGGGCTGAGCCGCGTGGTGTGGCGCCTGACCCCACTCCCCAGCAGGAGCTCGTGGACCAGTTTAAAACGGCTCGCGGGTCGTAGTTTGACCACCCCTGATCTAAACCAACCTATCCACCTTCTCTGCTTCTTTCCAAAGCCACACAACAACCAGTAGGTGGCAGCATTGCACACCCTGGACATCTGACGAGCATTAGCTTTCTACCTAGACAGAACTAAAGCTTTCAGATGATTGCCACGCTTATTCCTATCAATGGCCAAAAGATCAAAAGGCACAGCCATTTCTAAGCAAGGCCTTCCCAAGTGGATCTCGCGGTGTATACACCTGTCCTACCAACTACACAATGGGCAACCTCCTCCTGGAACTAGAGTACATCCCACCTGCTCTCTCTCCACCTCAATTGCCTTTCTTAACAATGCTGATGACATTTGCAAAGAAGCCACATGGGCTTCCACGGACACTTTTAGCCATCACTGGCCATTACTCATGATGCAGCATCAGATACTCTGCTAGGGCACACTGTCCTATCATCCGCCATGAATACCACTCCGAAGCCCCAACCTTACAACGAAGACCACAGCTTTATAGTCACCTACAGTGGAGCAACCAGAGGGACATACTCAAAGAAGAAGAGATGGTTACTCACCCTGTGCAGTAACTCCAGTTCTTCGAGATGTGTGTCCTCCACAACCCATCCTCCTCCCTTCTGCGTTGGAGCTGAAAGAGAAGCTCTGTGGTAGAGAAGGAGCTGGGGGCGGGGGAGGGGGAAGGACTGCACAGCACTGTATATACGCATGCTGCTCACGGCACAAGATGGGGAGGTGTGCATGTGTGGTCTAATGGCCACTGCTGATGAAGATCTCCAATCCCAGGGACAGGGGGCACTGCCGAACCTAGAGTGGAGCACCCATAGGGACACACATCTCAGAGAACCACAGTTACTGCACAGGATGAGTAACCTCTCTTTCCAGTCCAAAAGGGACAAATGGATTTCAGAGCTCTCCATTGAAAATTCTCATCTAGCCCCTAGACATTCAATACTGGGGACCATAAGCAAGAGAACATCAGCTGATCCCAAGCGCCATATTTGTGCACAGGAGAGAAGTGGTTATGCAGGTAGTTAGGATTCATAGAATCATAGAATATCAGGGTTGGAAGGGACCTCAGGAGGTCACTTAGTCCCCTTCTCAAAGCAGGACCAATCCCCAATTTTTGCCCCAGATCCCCAAATGAACTCACAACCCTGAATTTAGCTGGCCAATGCTCAAACCACTGAGCTATCCTTCCCCCCCAACTTTACATACCAATATAAGCATTTTGAAATGAACGGGGAAGCTGCTAGGGAGTCAGTGTAGTCTTTGGAACACCACTGAAGTATGTTCACTGCTAAGAAAGTGAGACACTGCATTCTGCACCAGCTGCAGTTTGTCGGTGGTTTTTAAGGGTAGCCTTTTTGGAATGCATTATAATAACCCAGGCTAGAGATCACAAAGATACGGACAGCTGTGGCAAGTCCACATCAGAGAAAAACAATAACAGTATCGCCTCAAACCGATGGGGAAAGGGCACTTTTGGTCACTGATGAATTCTGAAAGAATTGGTAGCCAAGAAGCTCCTGAAACTGTGAACCTCACGGACAAAGGTGGGGCAACCCCTCTATCATAAGAACTGCCATTGTTCTCGTCGCTTCTTACTAATCTGGATTTGCCCTCGACCCACTCTATCCACATCCCTGCCTCAGCCAGGCCCATGGAAAGCAAAGACACTAGCACTGTTTTTGTCCACTGACAAAGTGGTGGCATCACAGCCCAGATCACCTTATTCTCTCTCCCACCAGCTTCACAAGCACATAGACTAGGACAGAGGGACAAAAGAGTGCCTTGTAGAACTCCACACCATGGTAGTGTGCAGCAGTTACACAATCTAATCCTCTGGTCAGGAAGGAAAGAATGGAACCACTCATGTGGGATCCTGACCACCTCTGCCAAGGTTCACAGCTGAGTCAACAACCCATTCACGCCTGCAAGTCCATTCAACAAAATCTCTTGGCCAACATTATCAAAGTCTGCTTACAGATATAGAAGAATCAGCATGGACACACATGACCATTTTGTCCATTACTAGGATGAGACCTTCAACCAATGACATTAGTACAATATTTGTACTGAGACCAAACCCTTGATGGACAGAGATGAAGGAAAACTGAGGACTCTAAATTATGCCTGAGTTCCCTCACCCCCCAATGCAACTGGAGAATTGGAGAATTTGGCCCAATTTCTTGAGCACAACCCTAATGATGGCTCTTTTGGGAGTTGATGGCATTTGCCTTCCCAGAGGGAGACAATCATCTCAATCCACAACAGACCCCCACCGCCCCCATACCTTTTTGTATGATTTCACTAAACCGGAAGTGTAGACTTTCACATTTCCCACAATGCATCCAGAATCTCAGTAAGTTAGTGGTGAAAGATCACCCAGATGACATAATATTTTTTTCTGCCCCCACTGCAGTGGCCAATCCAGTCTGTCCAGCTGGTCTTATTCTTGAAGATGGTAGAAAAGTCATCACAGCAAGAAATATTCATTTCTGCTTCTGAGCACTGCAAAGTCACCATGGGCACCCCAGCCCCCAGTACCCCCAGGCTACACTAACACTGATTCCTAGAAACATTTCCACTGAATGAGACTTTGCAGATGCTCTCACGGAGAAGGAAAGCGTACAGAAAACAACGGGCCTGAGTCTAAGGATGAAAACCGGGAGTAATTTACTAAGGTCAGGGGTGTTGCACCAGTGGGAAACTGGGGTAGACAAAGGGAGAATCATACCAATGTGCTGGTTCTGCCACACATTCTGTTGCCTTTATTTCAGTTTTTCTTTGGCTGGTTTTCACTGATGGATGGATTGCAACATCCTGCAAATAAGGTACATGAGAGGTATTGGTGAGAAAATTATATAGCTGTATAGTCATTAATGTGTCAAACTAAAGATAGGAAGTTTGACACATTAATGACTATGGCAAGATAGGAATATGGATTTATTAATGCTAAAAGGGAGGCTATATTGTTCAGTTGTTAGCTGCTGGTTAACTCCTGCTAGAACTAGTTGGCAGAAACCCAAGGGCATTCATAATAGGCAGCTGTATTCATTTTAATGAAGTAAACAACAATGTAATATTTAGTCTCCGGGTCCAGCTTCTTCTGGCACTACTTGTTCTTTCTGGCCTTTTAATGTACGTTTTAGCAACAGCTGCAGAAACTCTATTGAATAATTCAACCGTTCTAAGTAAATACTTTTATGGGGTGTCCATTGTGAAGCCTGAATATAAATCAATGGACAAACAAATGTGATTGGTCTGGGAGAACGTTTCCTCTACTTCTAACAGTCTTGGTTCTAAATGTCAAAAGAGTCAGCAAATTGTGCTGAATCACTTCAGACCAATTCAAACTTAAATAAGGTTTCGCAGAACAGGGTGGACAGAGCTAAGTTTAGAAACTGTGTTTTAGCCTAGGTCTAATTGTCCCTCCCCACCCTTAAATTGAATTGAGTTAGGCCTGGTCTACACTGCACATTTAGGCCGATGTAAGGCAGCTTATGTAGACCTAATTATGTCAGTGTCTACACTACCACCTTGTACTGCTGATGCAAGTGTCCTGCTACACCGACATAATAACTCCACCTCCACGAGAGGCATAGGGCTTATGTCAGTGAAGTTAGGGTGACACAGCATTTGCATAGACACTGTGTTACTTACATTCTAAGTATTATTT